CCTCCAGTTCAGATGACTTGGCACACCAAAACACTATACTTGGTTGTACTGCTTCACAAGCCCCAAAACACACACTCACAATAGCCCCCCTCCTCCCTTCCTCCTCCTCCTCATTATTATTACTACTACTGTGTTTTTGGGGTAGGGTCTCACTCTGTAGCCCAGGCTGGCTTCCATCCAGCCTGGGTCAGAGCCCAGGTAACTTGTTAGTAATTTCTCCAAGCTCTCGGAGCTGGAAGTTTGATCCAACGCTCTACAATGGAGCCTCAGTTCCTTCACTACCTTTCATTAGATGTCCAGGGATTCACAGCGCCTTTGCCTGAAAAATGGAGGCTGTAAGAACTCCATTTTGGCCTTGTGGTAATATTAAATGAGATCACTGACATAAAGCCTTAGCCTAGGAAAAGATCTCAAGCTCAAATATAAATTCAGATTTCCTTTTTTAAAATAAATTTTTGTCATGAAATTTTTATAATAAAAAATAATTATTATAAAATGTTATTTTGCGCTTATGAGCGTTTTGCCTGCATTATGTTTTTGCACCACATGCATACCTAGTGTCTGTGGAGCCCAGAAGAAGGTCATGTATCCCCTGGAACCGGAGTTATAGATGGCTGTGAGCCACCTCGTGGGTGCTGAGAATCAAACTTGGGTTCTCCAGAAGATCAGCCCATACTATAAGCCTCTAAGCCATCTCTCCAGCCCCAATTCAAATTTCTTTATTGAACATATACTATTTGGGTCACATACTTGTGACCTCAGTACCTGAGAATCAGAGGCAGGAGGATCAGAAGTTCAGGGTCAGTCCTGAGCGCATGAGGCCCTATCTGAAAATACCATTGCTGAACAATAAAACAGTAAGAGCCACGACCTTCCTTTCCTTGGAGAATAACTGTTGTCAGCCCTAATGCCTGCAGAGTCCGGAAGGAACTGCTGCCAGCAGGCTCCCATGAGAGACTTCGTGTTCCTTATTGTCCACTGGAGTTGATAGCTGCCGCTTCTCACCGAGGAAGGGTTTAGATTCAGGCTCAACTGAACACAGAGTGCCCCGTGGGGGTTTCCTGCATAGCAAGAAGCCATTAGTGACTAGGGACACCACAGATTCCGTAAAGACAGCCTCCTTTTACAGCGAGGGAGATGGAGAGCAAGAAAGAAACTGATTTGATGTATGTGACAAAGCCCACCAGGAGAAGGCAGACCCGTCAGATAGCAAGTGCTTGCCTGGCACACGTGAAACCCTCAGGAATGGAGAGAGAGAGAGAGAAGGGAGACAGGGGCAGGCAGAGCTCTGTGGGTTCAAGGCCAGCCTGGCCTTCAGCTTCAAGGATCAAAAGTTAAGATACCAGCACGGCCATTTATTAGACCTTAAACTTTGTACTCGTGACCTCGTTTTTAAATTTCAGTGTCCCTTATGTGTTGAGTGGGGGTTTATAATGTTATCTGCTGCACACAGATGTGAGGTCGAGCTCAGAGAGCACACGAAACCGACTCACTGGCACAGGATCCCGCTCCATAGATGGCTGCTCGAGCCAGATGCTGTAATGCTGTAATGCTGCCTCCAACAAGCTTCCGTCGCGACTGCACACCTCTAAGAGGCTCACTGTACATCCAGAAATCTAGTGGGGGTTCTTGCGTGTGTGTGTGTGCGCGTGCGTGCGTGTGACCTTGAGCCCGGTCACACAGGGACGGCAGGGATGGGCTATTATTCTTTTATCCTTAGTTACTGTTTTCATCTGTTTAAAGGAAATGGCGTTCTTTACCTCCCGAGGTTGCTGGAGGAACAAGTGCGGATTTTGGCACGCACCTTGCACTTTAGAAACACTGTGTACGTGCATGTGAGGCCACGATTTGTGTTTACTAGTCTCCTGGGGAGTGAAATGGACTCCGAGGTGGACTGAGTCCTGCTTCAGAGTTTGGCTTTTGGGGAACGTGGGTCATTAAGTTCCTGCTGCTCCAACTGCTGCTCAAACCTCAGTCCCTGTGCCTGCAGACTCCGAGTTCTTGTGAAATCGTGAAAAGAGGTGCTCTGCTGACCATCCCCACCCCCACCCTGCCAGAACACAGTGGCCTGGACTGGGGCTGGGAATACAACCCACAGGCAAGCACCCTGTGGGGTTGCCAGTGACCTACAAACGCAGCTTGGCGTCTTGAAAATGAGTTGGGCAAATCTCTCTCTCTCTCTCTCTCTCTCTCTCTCTCTCTGGAATCCATCTCTGGAATCCAAATCAGGAAACATGAAATGACTCAGGCCATTAGCAGCAATAAAAACCAGGGCTAACAGTATGCAAACAGAGGGGCTGGGAGGTGGAGGAGGATATGCATGGGAAGAGATAGAATCTAGGCTATGACAGACTCAAGTGGTCAGTGTGCAAAATCGTGATTAAACAGAAGCTACGAAAGACACTTTGTTTATGCAACAAATGCTAGCGTTCCTCCAGAAACAACAAATGTGTTGGCCTCTTATGAGAGCATGAGAGTGACTCAGACACAGCATTTGTCTCCCAGCACACTTAATTTTGGTGAGGGAAGAGAAACAAGTCAGCAAACGAATGATTGCAACTTGCTAAGAGCTAAGGAGAAAATAAACACAGGATGGAGGCAGCCTGGGAGGGAGGGACCTCACTAAGAGACAGCGCAGAGGGCTGGTGACCTGGCTCAGCAAACGTGCCACCCAGCCGGAAGCCTGTGCTTTCCGTCCATCCCAGAACCCTTGTGGGGAAGGAGAGAAGCAGCTCCCGAGAGTTCTCCTACCTGCAGGCTCAACTGTGGCGCTTGAGAGCCCTCTCCCCAGGACATAGATAAAAAAAATTAAAAAGGAAACAGCAAAGGAGGGAAGGCCTCTGACTAGAAACTGAAATGAGGTCTGAAAGACAAGGTGGACCCAGCTGCACGGCGGTCAGGGGCAGGGATATTTGAGAGAGAGCATGCAGCAGCTGGTGGCAGAGAAGCAGCTGGGAGGGAAAAACACACAAACACGAGCATGCACATACGCATGCAGCACACATGCACACACACACACACACACACACACACACACACACATGGAACAAAAGGAAAGGAAAAGCCAGGTGTGGAGTGTGGAGCACGTTTGTAAGAATTTAGTTCAGGAGTAGTGAGACGCTGTCAAAGCATTCGAGGCTGGTCAGTGACGTGACCCGACACGGTGTGGTAAATAATATTAAAGGGAAGGACCTGCGCCGGAACCATGTGTCAGTGGCTGAAGATGCTTTCTGATGAAGGCTGGAGGCTTGAGTTTCACCCTTGGGACCAATGTAAGAGTGGAAGATCCAGCTCCATGAAGCTGTCCTCTGACCTAAACACACACACACACACTCACACACACGTACACACACCCATCATATATATTTCTTAAAGTATTGAAAGAACAAGAACTCGGTCTGGGCAGAAACCCAAGTTCTAAGTACTACCATTCACCAAATGCACGATCTTGAGTACATTTCTTAATCTTTCCATGTCCAATAAAATTGAGGTAGGTTTGAGTTTTACTTCATGGAGTTGTAGAAAATTTTTAAAAAGGAAAGAAAAAAAGGCATACTCTCTCTCCATATACATACATATATTTTGGTTGAACCAGTTTTTGTCACATACCGGATACGTAATGACTAAGTTGCTATTTATGTATTTGTTTGCTTACTTATTTATTTATTTATGATTTTTTTGGGGGGGCAAGGTTTTTCTCTGCAGCCCTGGCCATCCACCTGCCTGAGCCCCCCCCCACATGATTATCGTGGTTACAGAGTCCCGCTTTGTGGTAAGGCTGGCCTCATACTCAATCCTCCTGCCTCAGCCTCGTGAGTTTGGGGAATACGGGCACACACCTCCATGCTGGTTAAGCTACGCACTATGTTCTTTAAGTCTTTGTAGCTGTTATTCAGAGGATGAGTGTGTGGGAAGTGAAAAGGAGGAGTCCCTGAGGGGAGGCCAGTTATGCGGAGAACGAGCATTTGGAAGTTAAGTGGCGCGAAGTGCTGGCAAGGAAGCAGTCAGGAAGGTCTAGCTGGACATGCTTCGGTGATTTTTGCAGGTAGGATGGGTATTGTAGCTGAGGAAAATGGAGGACTAAAGAGCAACTTCCAGGGAGGTGAATGGCTGACATTTGCTTCCGAAAGGGATCCTGAGACGAGCAGGCGTGGCAGAGAAATAGGCGTGTTAAACTTGGGTGTCCGTGAGATGTCTAGGAGGCGTCCATTCGGATGTCAACACAGTTGGAAACCAGGAAAGTCTGGGACCAAGGTATGAATTTTAAAGTTACTAGCAAATAAGCATTTTTTTTTTCACTTGAGGGACTTAATTTTTATTTTTCAATTTTTCATAAATATATACAAGCTATTTTAATTATATTCAATTCACATTCCTCCCTCCAACTGCATTTAAAAACAGAAGCCGTTTAGACCACCTGGAAGAGTTAACACGGGGAAGTGAAGGCAGCCATGAAGAGGCCTGAGGAATTACAGATGTTAGGGCAGGGGACTAGAAAAGGGGAAGAAGAAGAAGAAGAAACTGTGGAAGAAGGGAAAGTGAGAGGCAGCTGTTGTCAGAGGCAAGAGTGGTGAGTGTTTCAGGAAAATCTGAGCGGCCGGTTGATGCAGCAAGGGAGCCAAAGAGGCAAGAATCTGGGTCACTGAGGAGTAGGCTCTTTCAGGGAGGGCCGAGAAAGAACCACGTATTAACAGGCACCTCATGTGCGGCCTGCATTATCGGTGAGATGTTTGCTTTACCACCTTGTCCCCACCACAGCAGACTGAGACCCTGAAACCTTGGGCCCAAATAAATTGTTTCACCCGTAAAAACCAACCAACCAACCAACCAACCAACCAACCAACCAACCAACCAACAAGGCATCAGTGAGGCTGAGAGGCTGCTCAATGTGCAAAGCTGCTTGTCACCAAATCTGATGTCCTAAGTTACATCCTGGAACTCACATAGTGAAGGGAGAGAACCAGTTGGAAACAATTGGGTACTAAGATGAATTAGGGGTGTTTCTTTTGATAGCAGGTATATTAAAACTGGAACGATGCACAGAAAATTTGCATAGCTCCTACATACAGATGACATACAGATTAGTGGAGCATTCTATTTGCTTTTTGCAGGAATTTGAATTTGGGAACAACACTAGCTTTTACATGTTCAAGGTGAAGACTAAATCAACAGGGATGGGTGTATTAAGTCAGTTATGGCGTCTCACATCTTTAGTCCCAGCCCTGAGAAGGCAGAGGAAGCAGGCAGCTCCCTGTGAGTTTGAGGCCAGCCTGGTCTACACAGCAAATTCAAAAGAGAATATAGTTCTTGAAACGGAACATCAACAGAAACTAATGAATTTAACTACATTTAAATATGTGATTTACAATGGCTTTGAAAGGAAGACCAATCCACACACACACACACACACACACACACACACACACACACATATATTTTACTACAGCACTTTCAGTATATATACATATTCTAAAAACAAAGCAAAATGGCAAACAAATCCTGAACCCTATTTAGTGAGTTATTTTGGTAATGGAATCAATGCAGCAATTCTGAAACTACTTTGTGTTACAACATTGAATAGGTGAAAAAAAGTAGCCAAGGCTCTGGGGAGCAGAGTTGTCGCTGTGGGAAAGAGAGAGATGCAAATGAAGGAAGGGCCCTAGGGGAGCTCAGAATTAGAAGTACCAGTAATGAAGCCATGATTAAACACAGTTAACTAAATTAAATGGCTATCTCAGCTCCCCCTTTCCTTGTTTATTAAAAGGGCCTAGAAGCAATTATAGCCCAGGAGCAATGAGTGTACCTGCGGCCCAGGTCTTGGTTTCTAAATATTCATTCCCTACAATACAGAAAGTTTCTGGGAGAAATGGTTGACTTCCTGAAATAGACAGGAAAGTACAAGATGAACCTGGGGCATCTTATATAAGAAAGCAAGGAGGTGCAGGGGGGGGAGGAAGAGAGAGAGAGGAGAAGGAAAGAGAGAGGAGAGGGAGAGAGAGGGTATTCAGAAGGCAGCTTGAAGGATTTCTCACTACTCAACACTGGGACAAGTTAAACAATAATAATAACGCGGTGAGAGTGATAGATTATAACCTAGTAAACAGAAGACAGATCCATGAGTTTATATTGATAACAATATACAAACAGATAAATATGTGAAAGAAGGGATAGAGGCGTGGCCTTGGTGCTACAGACCTGTAACCCTAACACTCTGAAGACAAAGGCTGGGGGGCCAAGAGTTGGCTTGGTAGTACATTTGAAGCCAGCACAGACCACACGAAGCCTGAGGGTGGGAGAGGGGATTACAGGCGCACACCACGATGTCCAGATGCTCCCACAGATTCTTAATTCAAATATATCCCATGAGCGTCCGAGCTAAAGTCTTTGAGAAAGCCTCAAATTTCCCTCTGAAATCTCACAAGCCAGGCCTCCCTCACCTGCTCTCTCAACAGTCGCCTCTTGTAAACTCTCCTAGAACATTCAGTCAAGCTCTGAGCACTCAATGGCTTTTCCATCTGAAGCTCCAAAAACCCTTCCACGATCATCCTCCAAAACATCTCGGCTGGGTCCATTACAGAAAGCTCCCACTCTCTAGAACCAAGTTTTACCTTTGTTTGGTTTCTGTTGCTGTTGTAAACACCGTGATGACCAAAAAGCAACCTGGGGAGGAAAGGGTTTTTCTTCAGCTCCTAGGTCACGGTCCATGACTGAAGGAGGTCAGGGCCAGAGGACATGGCAGGAACCTGAAGCAGAAACGGTGACCGCCAAGGAAAGGTGTTCACTGGCTTGCTTTCCCCCAGCTTGCTCTGCTCTCTTCCTTACACAGCCCAAGCCCACCTCTCCAGGTTCAGGGCTGAGCACAGTGGGCCGGCCCCATGTCCATCAGCCATAAAGAAAATGCCCCACAGACCAACCCCCAGGCTAATCTAGTGGAGGCAGTTCCTCAGCTGAGACCCTCTCTTCCCAGGCAGCCAGCTGACTACTGGCCGGCATGGTAAGATTGTACATAATTGTAACAACTTAAAATTTCTGAATTTGGTCATAATTTTAGGTGGTTCTATTGCTATATGAAAGAATATCTTTGTTCTTGGAAAATACAAACTGAAAAAAAGAGAAAGAGAGAGAGGCAAACAGGGACGGGGGTGTGGTTCAGCTGGTAGTGTTTGCTTAGCACAAAGCCCTGTGGCTGATGCCCAGCATTGCAATAAATGGGCATGGTGTGTAGTGGGCATCCCAGCATTCTGCAGACAGAGGCAGGAGGATCAGAGGTTGGAAACTATGCTCAGCTATATAATAACCTCAAAACCAGCATGGGCTACTGTAGACCCTGAGTGGTAAAAACAAAAAAAAACAAAAAACAAAAAACAACAACAACAACAACAACAAAAACCAACAAAAAACAGAAAAACAGCAAAAAGCAAATTCACACTGAGGGCTGGAGTGCAACTCAGTAGCAGAACCCTCGCCCAGCAAGCACAAAGCCCTGGATTCAGTCCCAGCACTACAAAAACAAAGAGGAAAAAGGAGTCATGAGGGGGAAGCAAAGACATGGCCCTGGAGAAGGGTCAAGGGTCACACAGTGATAAAACAGCTCTCTACAGGTAGGAGACATTATCTGGACACCATGGCACACTGTTACCTCTAGGATCACAGATACAGAGAGGCTGATGCAGGAGACTCACAGGTTTGAAGCTAGCCTAGAAATGTATCAAGGTACTGCGTCCTCCACAAAAGATACACAGATACTAAACTAGGCCTGATCACTACGAGAACCGGGTTTTCTCCTGTCTTTTCTCCCTTCCTTCCGTCTTTCCTCCTTTCTTTCCTCCTTTCCTCCTCTTTCTCCTTCGTGTGCTGTCTGTGTGTGCATGTGTAGATACACGTATTTACCTGTGCAGGTATATGTGGGTAGAGTGTTTGGCCACTGTGGGGCTCTCCTGCCTCCACTTCCTGGCACTGAGATGGCAGCTGTACACCACCGTGCCTTGCTTTCATGTAGGTTCCGAGAAGCTGAACTGGATCCTCATGTTTTCGCAGCAAGTACCTTCTCCACTGTGCTGTCTCCTCACTTCTCTTTTCCTTTTCCTTTCCCTCCCTCCCTCCCTCCCTCCCTCCCTCCCTCCCTCCTTTCTTTCTTTCTTTCTTTCTTTCTTTCTTTCTTTCTTTCTTTCTTTCTTTCTTTCTTTCTTTCTTTCTTTCTTCCCTATCAGACCTAGTCTGGCCTAGAACTGTAGATCTTTTTGTCTCCTCTTTCCTCCCTAATGCTGGGATACCAGGCATGTGCTACCATGTCAAATCAAGCCCTCAGGGATAGAGACAGAGAGACAGAGACAGAGAGAGGAAGGAAGACACACTTAGGTCTTTTGATTTGTCTTTATATAGACACCATGCGCTATTTTACATTCGAGAAGCCGGAAGACATTTGGGCCACCACCACCTGAGGGCAGTAAGAAATGATGCGCCTCTTTCCCGGTGGTTTTATTGCTTCATCTGCTGAAACAGATCAGCACAATCAGAAAATGCCAGTGAGGGCAGAGATGCAACTCCTCCCTTGGCAGACTGCATCTCGGGGCCATGTCAACTCCCGGGGTCATCTTTTAAGGAACTGAAAGACTCTTCTCTAAGACGTACCAGTTCACATCTTCACCAGCTGCATGTGAGAGTTCCAGTCTCTTTTAAAAACGATTTCATTCAGCTATTCCTGGGGTGTGTGTGTGTGTGTGTGTACCGGTGTGTGTGTGTGTGTGTGCGTGTGTGCGTGCGCGTGCATACACGCGTGTGTCAGGGTGTGCCTGTGGAGGTCAGAAGACAGCTCCGGGAGTTGGCTTTCTCCTTCCACAGTGGGTAGCTACAGGAGATTGAAGCCAGCCAGTCACGGCAAACACTTTCTACCCGCTGAGCCATCTCACGGAACTGAGGGCTCTAGTTTTTTTTTCGTGTTTCTGACAAAATTGGATTATCAAAATAATGTTAACTATTCTTTTTTAGGTAACGATACTGAATTGTTCATTTAAAAATATACATAGCTGGCTTAGTGGGTGTAAAGCTGTATCTATCTTGTTGCGGTTTTGATTTGTACTTCCCTAATAGCTAATGATGTTTATTTAATGTTTGGTTTTTTTTTTTTTGCCATTTTGATATCCATTTATTATTGATATCCATTTATTATCCAAATGTAAACGATTTCTTTTAGTTTGGTTCTGTTTTGTGTTTTGAAGCGGCAGGAGCTCGCTAGGTTCCTCAGTCTGACCCAAACTCTTGGGCGCTCCGGGCATGCGCACTCACCCTGCTGTCCCATTCAACAGTTACTTCCACAGGAGTTCTTACCGCTTTGCTCAGGCGGCTCAGGAACTCCCGGGCCCTCACTTCAGCTCACAGATGCTGAGACAACCAGTGTGTGCCACCACACTCGGCAATTCTTTTGTTTTGAGACAGGAGCTCATGTATCCCGCCCTGGCCTTCAACTTCTGATTCTCCCAAGTGCTGGAATTACTACCCTAAGTTTATGTGGCACCAGGGATTGAGTCCAGGGCTTTGTGCACAACAGGCAAGCGCCCTCCCAGCTGAGCTATACCCTAGCCCTATCAGTTAAAAAATATGATATTTTAAAATGTGTGTGGGGCAGTGGGCAAGTGATGGGAGTAGATATTTTCCCTCCCAACTTCAGGTTGTCACACTTGGCCACAGGCACCTACACCGGAGGAGAAAATGGGCTTTTGTATGTTAATTTTACATCCTCCTACTTGGCTGAAAGCGGTTATTAGACCTAATTGCAGGAACGACCCTGAGGGTCTCGGAGGTGTAGGTCCTGCAGGCTGTGACAGGGGTGTCTGACTTCTCCCTCGCTGTACCCGGTCTCTTCCCTTTGTGGCCCTGCTTAACTGACACAGGAGGCACTATGCAGAGTAAGAGTGAGGAGTGTCAGCACCCTGCCTCCTCGTTGCTTTCAGAGCACACGCTCTCAGCCCCCACCCCCGCTTTGGATAACCTTGGCTGTGTATGTCTGACAGTATGCTGAACTTCTGCTCCTTTCACATCTATTGTGAATATGTAACTTTTATTCTTACTGTCTCCTTATGCGTTGTATTACAACTGTTTACTTAT